TTTGGAAAAAGTTCCCAAAGGAGTCTCAGAATCCAAAGGGGAAATTGAAAGAGCAGTTCAAGCTATTGAATCTCAATCCAGGACACTCATTTGAACGACCTGGCGAAAGCCATGAAGGCGTTGGACGGAAAAAGAATCTCAATCCAGGACACTCAGAAGTACCTTGGAGACAAGCTATGGAAGAAAGGTGCAGACGACCACCCAGTTTTGACATGGTTGGTTGAACATGCTAGCACCACTTTACAATTTGTTTCACAGATCATTGGAAGTCAAAGATGGGAAGACACCGTACTCTAGACACCGTGGTCGTGAGTGGAGAGTGTCATTACCACCATTTGGGGAAACAATTGAATTCCTCAAAAGAGGTCACAAGTTTGAACAAAGATGGCACCCAGGAGTTTTCTTGGGAGTCAAAGACAGTACCACTGAAAAGATAGTGGGGAATGCATCAGGTGTTTTCACTGTGCAAAGCATTCGACGCAAGAGCGCTGACGACATCAGTGCCAGTTGAGCCACCAAAGAAGTCAACAATGACGACTTTACATCACCAAACGTGATTTGGACAAGTATGGCTACACAGCTGGTTGTGTCGCCTGTGATGCCACTAGAATTGGCAAGAGAGGCACTGGAGTTCATCACACTCCAGCTTGCAGAGAAAAGGATGGAACGGCTGCTTCAAGCAGAAGACGGCAACCTGAGAGTAGCCCACATACGGCCAAGGTTGATTCTGAAATCACTGGTCAGAAACAAGAAGTGTCCGAAGAAGGCACAAAGATCCTTTATGGACATTCAAGTGAGAGACCACAAGGAGTCCCTCAAGGTTTCAAGGTGTTTGCGCGCCTTGACAGGAATGCAAGGTATCTCAAGGGTACTATGCCAGAAGGTCCCAGTTGGGATAACGTCTGGTGGAGAGTCACCAGAGAGTTCAAGACAGGAGACATGATCAAGTCTGAACCAATTTGATCCTAATTTAGGAGAAGACGTCATCAACGCACCGTTGATTGATGACACAGATATTGTCACTGAGCTGTGGTATTCTGCCACAGGGGAATCGGCGCCAAGTTTGCCAACTGTTGGAACATCAGGTCCAGTAGTACAAGATCCTACTGCAACTGGAGTAGGAGCTAGTGCAAGCTCAGCCTCAGCCAAGAGAGCAGGAGGCGAGCAAGAAGAAAGATCACACAAGAGGTTGGTGATGTCCCCAACCAAAGGTCAAAAGAGACCTGCAGACTCAGGAGGCGAGACGTCAAAAGCCAAAGACAGCCGAGCTGCTTCAGCTCAGGCGTCTAAGGGCACCAAACGGCCACCTGAGAATGAGAGACCAGATGACATGGATGATATAGACCAATGTCTTATGAACCTGATCATGGAAGATCGGGAGAGGTATCTTCAGTCCATTGAAGGTGAAGAAGAGCCAGTTTGCGAAGAAACAATTCCTCTTCCACCGGAGTTGGAAGATGAAGCAGTTACATGGTATTATTATGATGATATCAGTGGAAAGATTTTGGACAGCAAAGGTGTAGAACAAGCCAGAAAAGATGAGGTCGAAATTATTGAAAGTTTTCCAGTTTGGGAAAAGATTCCCAGACACAAGATGCCCAAAGGGGTACGCACCATTGGAACACGATGGGTAGATGTCAACAAGCAGGATGAGGAGAATCCACTTTATAGAAGTAGGTTAGTAGCTCAAGAAGTCAAGAAGGGCTCAGGTTTTGATGAGTTCTTCGCAGCCATGCCCAGTTTGTCTGCTTTGAAGATGCTAGTTGCAATAGCCGTCACGTTTCAGTTGCCAGACGCTGGAAAAGCTGTCAAGGAAGCCTATCGCAAGCGTAGACTTCTAGGATTCCTGGATGTGAAACGCGCTCACTTTTATTCAGATGCGACGCGCGAGATTTACGTGGAGCTTCCTGCAGAAGCAAAGAAGCCTGGAGAAGATGTGGTAGGAAGATTGCTCAAGTCATTGTATGGAACCAGAGATGCACCTCTCAACTGGGAGTTGCAAATAGAGAAGGTCATGTTGGCCTTAGGTTTCAAGCAAGGAAAAAGCAGTGCATGCATATACTACCATGCAGGCCGAGACCTCAGAACTGTTGTACATGGAGATGATTTTGCAACAGCAGGAACATTTGACAACATCAAATGGCTTCATGAAGAGCTGTCAAAGAAGTGGAAATGTGTGGAACATGGTATTTTAGGACCACCAGGAACACCAAACACCATCCAGGACATCAGAGTCCTGAACAGAATCATCACGTGGAAGGAGAATGGAATTTGGTGGGAACCAGATGCACGTCACACAGAGTTGGTGATTGATTTACTCGGAGATGGTCCCCGAGGAGCCAAAGTCAAGACACCACTTGCCAAAGGATCAGTGGTAGATCTTAAGGATGCGGCTGTTTTTCTCAACGATGAAGAAGCAACCCAGTATAGATCAGTTACAATGCGAGCAGCTTATTTGGCACAAGACCGACCAGATTTGCAAGTAGCAACAAGATCTTTAGCACAAGGGCTACAACGACCAACTACCAGCCACATGCTTATGCTCAAAAGAGTTGCACGATACCTTAGGTATCGACCACGCATGGCACAATTCTTTCCTCATCAGAACAAACTCAGTCCATTTGTGATGTGGTCTGATGCTGACCACGCTGGATGCGTGAAGACGAGGAAGAGCGTGTCAGGAGGCGTCTTGATGGCCGGTGGTTGTTGTATCAAGACTTATTCCAAGGACAAGGAGTTGTTAGTCTTTCGTCTGGAGAGAGTGAGTATTACGCTCTTGTGAGCGGTGCCAGCAATTTGCTGGGAGAAGTTTCAACCGCCAAAGACTGGGGTTCAACCTGAGAGTGAAGTTTTCATGGATGCAAGTGCAGGAATAGCAATGGGTTCACGTAGAGGATTAGGCAAGGCCAAGCACGTGGATACTCAATACCACTGGGTACAAGACCGCGTTGCCAAGCGCTACTTTCGGCTGAAGAAGGTCGACACTGGCGATATGCCGACGTCTTGACGAAACCCGTCATAGAGGAGAAGATGAACAAGGCACTGCGGAATATGAACTTTCACTTTCTGGAAGGTGAACATCACCTGACACTGAAGGCATAGATGGCGTGAGTCGTGGCTATGCGTAGCTGTACATATCAAAACTCGCCTAGTTCAAAACACTTGGACTCACCGTGCCTCCGAACAGGCTCGGGAGGCGTGATCAGATATGTGTACAGTATAGACCATGTTACATGTAGTACATATGTTTGTATATGTGCTGCAGCCATTTTAGTGCTTTTAGCTACCTTCGAGCTAACCGAGTGAAAAGGTGCTGAACAGTGCTCAGGAGTGTTCATCAGATTTAAGAGCCCAAATTCTCTGTTCATATTGACATAACTATATTTATTTGAACACAAAGTTATCAATCAACTGTTGAGACCCCCGCACTTAGAACATCCCAAGACATTAGATACAACATATTTATCTCTATCATGATCTATTAACATAACTCTATTTATATGAACACAAAGTTATCAATCAGCTGTGGAGACCCCCACACTTAGAACATCCCAAGACATTACAACATATACATATATATATATAATGATCTAATGATATAACTGAAATTATATGAACACAAAGTGACCAATCAGCTGTGGAGACTACCACACTTAGAACATCCCGAGACATTGCAACAGACACACACACACATATATATATAGACACTTTTAATGATCTATTGACATAACTCTATTTATATGAACCCAAAGTTATCAATCAGCTGTGGAGACCCCCACCCTTAGAACACCCCAAGGCATTACGACATGTGTATATATATAAAAATTTCTATAATGATCTATTGACATAACTATATTTTGATTGGCTAACATGTTGATTGGGCGCAGACAGGAAAATAAACGTGACCGAACTCTTTGTTTGTGATGTTATGTGCGGGGAGCCAGGGTTAGTTGCAAGGAGCTTCACATTTAGAATATCCATTTCCTGATGTTCTAACTGTTTTGGGTCAGTAGTGTCAACCATGTTCTAAGTGTGGGGGGTCCCTAATGTTCGAGTCCAAAATTTTGTTAAAAAAATTGACGTTCTAAGTGATTGTCCGGCACTATACAACTGTTGGGTTGCAATGTTTGGTTGTTTTTTTTTTGTGTTTTATTCAGTGGTGGTGATGATTCTGATGGCGATGACTTGCACAAAAAAATCAGAAAATAATCAACGACGAGTGTGACATTAAATGTGGCAGTTACTTGTGAGATCCATATGGCAAAAACAATGTGCGTCCCTCCTAAACACAGTATATACGATCAGAAAAACAAAAACACGCATATGCATGAGGCAAACATTGCAACAAAAATGCCAATCCACATTTGTTTCGTGGTGGTTTTGTAGGTTTGCATCGATGAAATTAATTTTGCAATCATCATATTGTCAGGTTGTATTGGTAGAATTTTCGGTGCTATTAGAATTGGATTCATTTTCAAATTGCACCATCTTCAAGTTGTCATGTGTCATCGCACCTTTCCCGGGGTAGTCCAGTGTGGGCATATGTGGGCATAAACAGGTTTGGGAGCAAAGTCACCACCATTGCGAACAGGAATGTTCTTGATCACGTGGAACGTACTGGGCAAGGGTCAAACATCCTTGCGACTACTAATTGATTTAAAACATTTCCAACTCATATTTGTTTGATCTGTTTGCACGCGCTATTTGCACAGAATCATTGTTCACTTCAGTAGAAACGGCTCAAATGCATAGATAGTCGAAACACCTGGATTCAATGCAAGTATGCCTGTGCAATTTGGTGCAATCAGTTTGCAAACATAAAGGTTTTGTTCTCCGCAAAATTGATGCTCTTGGTTTTTTTAGTTCACAATTTTTCATTAGGATAAACATGAAACATTTCCCGTTGCAACCATGATGGAACACATGTTATGATTTTTATATTTTGGGGTACGCATTGAAAAATGTGTATTAGTATTTTGCCTAAAGTGTTTCTGGTTGTGGCGACATGGCTGTCCAGCTGCCCGTTTTAGCACGGTCTCCAGTTGCGGGAAATTCACCTTCCTCACGGAAAGGGCGGAGGCGGAGCACCAGCTACGGCCTATTTCCTTCGGATCAACGTGGTGTTACTTTGAAAGAACTCTTGCAACTGCGAGATGCACATGAAGAAATTTCCGAGGCATCAATTCTCTTTTTGCCGTGAACACGTTTGTGTAGTATTCCCTTGAATGTGAAGGGAGGTTCTTTCTGTTGTGAAAATGTTGAATGATATCTTGGCCTTATGTGGAAGGTTGAAATTGGATTGTTGAACATTTCGTGATATTTAAACGCTTTTGCAAGGTGCGATGGCATTGTGACAACCAGGCCCAATTGGGCTGCACCTCTCAACCCCAGGGATTTTGCGGTCCTTGCGTTTGCCAGAACACTTTGCAAGAAGGGACGTGGCGGCGAATGAATTTGCACGAAGTCATGAACGAGGTAGTTCTGCAGAAATACTGTCACGATTTGCGCGCCTTCTCTTTTGCAGAATACCTTAAAACATTCGTCCGACCTGATAGTGGAGGCAGAATAGTCCAGACTTTTGTCTCTCATTGGTGGGGCGAGGACTGATTGTTTTTTAATTACCATTTTTGTTGACCAAAAACAATGCATTCTGCGATTGAATGTTTTTTGTTTTGGGGGAAATACAGACACAGGAGTTCTGCAATCTGATTTCGAGCTTGCAACGCTTCGCCGAATCAGAGTGCATCAAACGTCAAGCATTGCGATTGTGGGCAAGCTTCCACGCAGTAGCCATCCTCATTGTGAATGCTTTTCTCTCCAAACGGTTGGCTAAAGTGTACGGCGCCCATTTGGAAAATTTGAGAGGAATTGACATTTGTGTGGTGATTCTGTGCAATTCCGCTGTGTCATTTTGCACCTTGCTTCTGATGCTACTGGAAGCAACATGCAGAAGGCGGCAGGCTTTGGAGTGGTCCTTCTGGATTTGTGCCTTTGCCAACAACCAGTACGAACTCGAGCATGCCTTGGGTGGTACTGTGGACCAATCCTCATTCGCCATTGCTTTGAGAAACGATTTTTTGAAGAGTATGGTATGTGTGATTGACTCGGATTGTACCATCTATAAACGTTTGTGGTGCACATTCGAAGCTTGTTGGGTCTAACTTTCAACATTTTTTCGATTTTCCCTAGTTTTCCTTGGATGATCGCCCAAGCGACTCACATTCAACAGCTTTGGGCGACGAAAGCAGCGTTGCCAGGAACTATTTTACGCAACTTATGTCCTTCCGAGAGGCGGCGAAAATTTCCAGAAGAAACGCCTGCCCATTGACTTTGTCAATGCAGATGGCATCATCAGCCAAGGTGAGCTGCAAAAAAAAACATGTTTTGGATCATCGATCATGGTCATGATCTCCAAATAAGCTCGTATAACGTCGTATAAACCTCTAACTTCTTATAATCCACTGAGCAAAGTTTTCTTCAAAAACATCCCTGTTTTTGATGGTCAAAAACCACCAATGAATGACCCGGATGGACAGATTCTCCGTGATTTTCCATTGATCCTCACTGCTCAGGTGGTCTTAGCCAGCAAGTACTCTTTGACATCAAGTCAGCCATCACGCAGGTGAAGTCAAAGGAGGCGAAAGCCTCGAAGGCTGAAGATGAACGACGCTAGGATTGGATACATAACATAAGGTAATAAGTAATATGATATGATATGATATGATATGATATGATATATTGTATTATTATAGATACAACATGATACAACTATAGATATAGATATAGCTATATATATAGATAGATCGCAACTTCATGATCCCGGCAAACGACCCCACACAATGTTGAGGAGAACATGGGCTGACAAAACCTTCTGACAAGATCTTCGTCCAAGGACGTCGAGACTTAAACCATCTTCATCTCCAATGTGGCAAGATCGTCATGCAATGTGACCTTGATGAGGATCTTACATACAAGGTCATGAAACATCACGAAACAAAAACCTCTAAGAGCATCCCACAAGAGCTTTCATGCACCTCTAGCAGGATTAGTTCAAGATCTTCTTAAAATAACCTCTAGACAATCTTCATGCAAGGACCTGTTTCAACGACCCTTAGAGGATTCCACAAGGTCTTCTCAAAAAGTCTAGAATATTTTCATGCAAGACCTCAAATGAGCGCTAAGCCACAGCGAGAGCATGCCGACACGCACAAAATGTGGAGGGGGTCACGCAAGAGATCAACATGAGCGCCGTACGACAACAAGAGCAATCTGACCCGCGCACAGTGACAAGAGGGTTACACGAGCGATATCAAGATGAAGACCGCGCCACAAAGAGAGCTATCCAGCACGAACAAAGTGACAAGAGGATTGCGCGAACGATATCAAGATGAATACCGGGCCACAACGAGACTCAAAAAGTTGATGCCCGGAGCAACGTTGGACATCACAGTTCCAATACGATTTGGTCCGGCATTTGTTGCAAGTATCTTGGCCATCAAAAAATGAAGCCCAGGCATCCGAAGTCTTCTCACCAAGCGAGCGTATTGGGGCAAAAAAACATCATCCAAGTTCACCACACTGCGCCTGTCAAGCAAAAAAAACCGGCAGCCTGCAGGGCCTCTCATTTTGACCCACGCTTGCCAGCATTTTAGCAACGTGCATGAAGTACTGCGCCTGTCACGCGGATGAAAAAGTGTCCGAAGTCTTGTGCCTGCCACACAAAACGAAGTTCTGACCCTCCAAAAGCGCCGAATCTCTTACGCCTGCCGCGAAAAATGTACATAGTTCCAAGAACGGAGGCGGCACGCAGGTATGAACCGGGCACGTCTTCGTGCGAGGTTGGTCTCCTTCAAAAAATGAAGATCGATGAACTTTTGTGCCGTAAGGGCCAACCAAATTAGCCTGACACGGATGCAACCACCTTTGACCGACCAAACCCCAAACACGTACCGTAAGAACCTGAAGTGCGAACACACTGTTTGTTTTTGTTTTTAACGTACAGACACAGAATTTACCACTACTTCCTTTTAGGTGTTGCTTTACCCTTTGTTTTTTTTGGATGGTTCACCACCTTTTGTCCCAGTAAGAGTTGCCATTTTTTTGCAAGAAAACAACGAACGACCAAGGACAGATCCATGACTTCATTGCCAAAAGCACGACGCACGAATCCTTGGATATGACCCTGAAGGAAATCACCAAACTTGGTCTGGATAGCGCGGGATTGCGGCGAAGGGTGCCGTTGATCTTCTACTTCTTTGCTCCAGTCGCTTCATTTACACTGTCTGGAACTATGCATTGGCTCCTATTGGCTTGCCATGAGCCTGACCGCAGGTTTCGATCGTTTTTGCAGTTCACTGCTGCCACCTATGCTTTTTTGAGCATGGCTGCGATTAGTGTCATCCTTGTTCTTTGCTTCAGTTCTTTTGAGATCAAATGGAAGAAAAGTGCACTTTCTGGACCTGAAGGTGGCTCGACACCGAACTTGACTCCCAATTCCAGCCATTTTTCAGATGCACCTCAGGACGATGGATGGTGTACGCCAAACGTGACAGAATTCCGAGTTAGAATTTCATTGCCATCATCATACACAAGGTTACAAATTAGAGTGTTCGCCAAAGCAATCACCTACACCTTTGTGCTCGCGGGGCCTGGCTTTTTGCTTGCTCCTCCACTCCTTTGTGTCGAGCGCTTTGACTCAAATGACTCGAGGATTGCTCGGGGCTGGCTTCAGTTTCTTCTCAACTTGAGGTCACTGTGGATTTCCGTACAGATTACCTATGCCTGTGCTGGACTCTGTGCTGGAATTATGTATTTTTTGGTCAGGGACAGTGAACGCTATACAGCTAAAGCATTCCGCGGCATCCTGGAGGATGTGTGGTTGTAGTGTTGCGCACAAAGCCTGTGCAGACCATGTTTGATTGTGATAGCCACCCTTACCCGTCATGGTAAACTTTACTGTAACTGCTCTCTTGATCTACTTTCACTGTATTTTTTTGCATGGACTCTACCAGACTTCAATCAAAATTGTTCAAACAAAGTAGCGCAGACACACTCTGCGGCAAAGACGGTCTGGGGCTGACTAAAGCCGTCACGTGACTTACTTCTTTTGGTGGGTTTGTACGGCAAGGCGGCAAGGCCGAGGCAAGTGGAAAGTATGGTGCAGAGGAAACCAGCTTGGACGACCCCCAAGGGGCATCACCAGGTGGCTTTGAGACCGAGTGCTGGCATTTCGGAATGTAAAAAGAACTACGAGCCATGTGGATTGGTTGTATAGGCCTAGCTTCTACAGGGCTCGTTTTTCTCCTTGAACTGAGCAGATTAGTTATGTTGTGCCTGTGGTCAAACAATACACCAACAGAGGTCATGCCGTCACAAATGTTCATTCCTGGCAGCTCAATATTTGTGGCAACGCAGCAGAGAAGCCACAGCCAAATCTCGCTAGACAGGGCGGGTTCAACTGGACCAATTGTCCTTTGTCCAACAGTACAATTGAAGTGGGCTGAATATCATGAAGGTCAAACATACAGAACATGAAAACAAACAACGCGTTCCACTTGTCAGTGCATTCAGCCTGTGATGGAGAATACATTGACATCTGGGTTCCTCAAAAAATGGGGGATGCGTAAGGATTGTAATTTTACACTTCGTTTTAGCTCACAGCAAAGCAGCTTGGCCATGACGCCCTGGCTTTACTTGCTAGTTCTGCCCTGGGTAATCTTTGGTCAGCACTGCCTTCCTGATGCCATTCCGGAAGCCGATCGCAACTTGATCAGAGAAACTTCACACATTTTTTTTCACTTTTCGAAGAGTTCGAAGAGTGGTAGGAGTCATTGAAGAGTCATTATGTGTTTGGCGTGGCTAGCGAACAACATTTGCACCAGTTCAGGGAATCTCTTGGCATCCCAGTCATCAGAGCGGTCAGAGCGGTCATGTCTTTTTTCCTGGTCAGGTATGAACATCACGTTGGACGGTTATTCCATGCCTCTGGGAATATGGCAGCTATCATGGGACACTTCGCTGATCATGGGCAAAATCTTTGGAATTTTGGTCTCTGAAATGTTGGGCTACCACATTCGGTATGGCACAGGCAGGACCAAAGAGCGACTGGATGTAATCTGCTCGGTCTTGCGTATCAATGTAAGGGTTCATCTCCTATTTCACCGTCCTTTTGAGGGCGGTTTGTTTTCACTGTAGATGTTCCCTGAAGGTTCTGGAAGCTTTTCCATTGTTTGGACTCTGGGAGGTTGTCCCTCAACTACTCCCAGTGACATCCAGGACAGCTTGGGGCTTGGGGGCAGACAAAACTTTTCTTGTCCCCAGATGTTTGTCAAATATTTCCAATCACAAAAAGACAATCTCCGCAGACAATTTGTGCATGTGTGACTTTGTCAAATCATTCTCCCCATCTTTAATTGCCGACTGGTGTTTTTTCGCCTGCACTAAGATGGACAGGTCCACTTTTAACCAGGCAATGCACAATCCCAATCTCCATTCGTGATTTTCCAATTATGAAAAGAAGATGAAGAAACATTTGCCGGGGGTTCTCCCATTCAAAAAAACATGCCTCATAGCCACAGCTGAGTCACCTTTCCCATTGTGTCCCCAGGCTGAGTGTCGTCCACCTCGCCGTTGGCATTTTTCCTTCGAGAGTTGGCAGCAAGGTCTCCGAAGATCCGAGAAAATATGGGGAAGATCCCTAATTTTCATAAACCACAAGGTATGTAATTAACCATCCAATTATTGAAGTACCAAACTGTGACCTGGTGGACTACAGTTTTTGAAGTACCAATTTTATGGTACCACCAGAATTATGTGCCTGCTATGGCTTTATTTTTATCCAATTAAATTGAAATACCTAATTTTGACCCATAGCTCTATGGATATACCGATGGATCAACACCTAGAAAATACATTGAAATACCATATTATTATTGGTGGAATGCAAATCAACTTGCCAGCCGATAAAAATGGTGTTAACAGGAGTACAGGGTTGCGACCCATTGCTGGTTCACTCGAGTAAGTGGAGGATAATCCTAATTATAACTGAACTATGCCTACTTGTCCCACTAAGAAATAGAACGATTGGGTTTTCTTAGCCCCTTTACGGGGGGGGAAACAGCAAGGAGCACCCCCCAAGAAGATGCCACAAAAGTTGGAGATCTGGAGATTGTGGGAAACAACTTGTCTATCTTTATTGGGGGTTGTTGGCTGTCACGTTCCGCTATATGAAACTCTGGATGAATCACTTGCATTTTCACGTGATCCTGGGCAGAGTTCGACAGGACTTTGAAACAATTCTTTTGGGTTCCGCTTTGTGCTTGATCGTCAAGATCGTCAAAATTTCCATTTTTCATGAGTTCCCACAACTCTTCGAGCACAGGTCGGACATATTTGCCTCCGACTTTATTGGCCATGGGTCAGCCTAGGCCCTGGATCTGAAGGTTTGAGAATGTTTGAGAATGTTTGTTTTCGGTCAAAGCAGTCCCGTTCTTTTTTCATCCATGGATTGGGGCAAGAATGATGGCGGTTTTTGGTTGCCGCGACCGCGGCAGCAAGGTATGCTCCAATCAATCTGGGCAGTGGGGGCTACACAGGATTTCAAGGCCTTTTTGTGATGTCTCCACCATCTGTGGCCTCCCAAGCCGCCACGGGTTTGCCGTTGACCTACTTCAGCCATTTCAACGCCGCTTGACTGCCAGGAAGGATTTGTTTTTTTGGCGCGGTTGCTGGTATAAAGGGTACAAAAGCTATATACGTAGAATTGGCTCAAGGACACTTAGATCCAGTGTCTTTGGGAGAAAACATTGTAGATCCAGCGGGTCTGCAGTCCTTGGAGGATTGCCTTCAGCACTTGTGGACTTGTGGATCGGCAGCCCATGGCTTGACCTGTCGATGTAGGTGATCGGCATCCGTGGTCCTGGAGTGATCCAGAAGGAACTAGTGATTACTATATGTGATTCCCATTTTCCTTGCATTTCTTCTGTAGTGTCTCTGCCCGTGTCATGGGTTTTCTTGCCTTGTCTTGTTGCTGTTGCTGATGTAATGTAGTTGCTGTAGAAGCAGCTGCTTTTTGTCGTCGGTGTGGTTGTCTTCTTGTCGCTGCCGCCGTGGTTGTCGTGCTGGGGAAGGTGGGCGCTTGGACAGCCGATACACGAAGTTCGTGTCGGATGATCCATGACTTATGTACCGAAAAGCAAAGATTTGTCAACCTTCGATTTCATATGATATATATATATAAATATTATTTGCAGCTTTTAGCTAGCAGGATTTCATTCTTGCCTCTGCAGCCTCAAACCAAGGCTTCTTGGTTTCGACCGCAGCGCTTTGCGATGATTGTGGGTGAAGTGAACATGAGCAGGCTATCACGATGCTCAGAATCTGTGAATTCCGCCTACCCTCTTCTAGGCCAAGAGTACTATGATGCGACTGGCGACAAAGATGGTGTAGAGTTGCAGGATCGACTTGAATGCTGGGGTTTTCTGTCAGTGAGATGCACAATTTGATTGTTTTTCAAAGAGGGTTCAAATTTGAGTTTGAAACGTATGAAACACCAGGAAACCTTGCGCAGGATGGCAGGAACATATTGAAGTGCTGGGAGGAAAAGTGGTGGGTAGCTCCGTCTTGCCGTGGAAACATCTCCGACTGTCTGGCCGTGGTCACAGGAGGCTCAGGCTGGGGGATGTATGAACTGCCGCAGCAGGCCTTTTTCCACAACATGCCCTTGGCCTTTGCCACTGCAGCTGCCAAACAGTATGTCCCTTTGAACCGTGACCTGCAATCTCTGCTGTATTGGTGGACTCCCGATGCCTCCTTCATCGATTTTGACCCAGAACGAGTCCTGTTCCCCACGCATGACGCGCAAGAGTTCCGGCGTGGGATTTACCGCAGCATGCCGTCAGATGTGGTGCTGACGAATTGGGCAGCTGGGGGACTGGATAGTGAGATGGCGCAAGATGCAGAGGGGCCATTGGCTTTGGCCAGCAACATGCAGCTGTTTAACAGCGATATGGTTGGCCTGTTGAAGGAGATGGGAGAAGGAAATTCGCACTATAGATTCCCCAGATTTTATAGTGGATTGTCATTTCTTAGACTGTTGAGAGAGTTAGACGTTTGTTTGGCTAGTGCGTTGGCCAGTCCGTTCACAGGAGAACCAAAAGCTGGACATCGCCGATGGTGAGATGCGAGCCTGGGAAACTGCTTGCAACTGGCTAAAGACGAATAGAAATAGAAATTTTTGGCATCAGTGGGTCCCTCGTGAAACAGATTGCGCCCGCGGGCAGGGACTTGTGGATGCCTTGGGTGCATTTGTGACCAACGTGTCGCAAGCTTTGAAATGCGCAACATGCCCGTCTGGCTACGCGGCCTTGCAACACAACGGCCAGCGCATTTGCTCCCCGTGTCCTGCTGGATTTTTCCAAAACTTTCCAGGAGAGTCCAGCTGCCTCCCCTGTGAACCAGGCAGCATTGCCATGGAGGAAGGCTCCAGGGAGTGCCAGCCCTGCCGGCTAGGAGAGTTTGCCAATGGAAGTGCCATGACTTCCTGCTATCGCTGTGGACAGGGTGACCATCGGGAGACCTGGCAGGGTTTGCTGAAGATTTTTTGATATTTTTCATTTCTTCATTTGTTGAAAATAGTTTCCTCTTGGTCAATCCACCAGAATCCACCAGAAACGGGGAGTGCTGGGATTTCCACCACTTTTTTGGTTGGTCTTTGATCATCCCAGCCTAGGATAGGTGGACCACCAGTCAGCTGGTGGTCTCGCAGGGTGACCTGGAGAAGTGGATTCAGGTGCAGGGAGCCACTTCTCAGGACTTCTGTGCCTGCGAGGCTGGAAGCTTTTTGTTCCAAAGCTCCTGTATCTTGGTCTTCTGTTTTAGCAGTGAAAGTTGTACTGATTGTTCTGATTTCCCGCCATTTGTTTCCATCCCCAAGAAATGGGATGCGTAAATGATACATATCTATAACATGTATATATTGTATATATATATACACATGTGCTATATATATATAAATATGTTATATATATATTTATATGTTATATATATATATATATGTTATATATATAATATATATGTTATATATATAATATATATGTTATATTATATATATGTTATATATATGTTATATATATATATATATGTTATATATATATATGTTACATATATATATGTTATATTATATGTTAGATATATGTTATATATATATTATATGTTATATATATGTTATATATATGTTATATATATATTATATGTTATATATATGTTATATATATGTTATATATATGTTATATATATATGTTATATATATGTTATATATATATATGTTATATATATAATATATGTTATATATATGTTATATATATATGTTATATATATAATATATGTTATATATATGTTATATATACATGTTATATATATAATATGTTATATATATGTTATATATATATATAAATGTTATATATATATATGTTTTATATATGTTATATATATGTTATATATATATGCTATATATATATGTTATATATATATGTTATATATATATATATGTTATATATATATATGTTATATATATGTTATATATATATATGTTATATATATATGTTATATATATATGTTATATATATATGTTATATATATGTTATATATATAACATATATATGTTATATATATGTTATTATATATGTTATATATATTATATGCTATATATATATGTTATATATATAAATGTTATATATGTATATATATATATATGTTATATACATGTTATATATATGTCAAATATATATATGATATATATATATATATGTTATATATATATGTTACATATATGTTATATATATATGTTACATATATGTTATATATATATGTTATATATATATGTTATATATATATATGTTATATATATATGTTATATATATATGTTATATATATGTTATATATATGTTATATATATGTTATATATATGTTATATATATATGTTATACATATATATATGTTATATATATATGTTATATATATATGTTCTATATATGTTATATATATGTTATATATATGTTTTATATATATATGTTATATATATGTTATATATGTATATATGTTATATATATGCGATATATATGTTATATATATGTTATGTATTATATATATGTTATATATATATATATGTTTTATATATGTTATATATATGTTTTATATATGTTATATATATATATTATTATATGTTATATACGTATATGTTATATATATGTTATATATATATGTTATATGTATGTTATATATATTATATATATATGTATATGTTATATATATACATATATGTTATATACATCATTATATACATATATATGTTATTTACATATATGTTATATATAATATACATAATATGTGTTTGTTCCCCATTTATCCATATCCATATTATCCTACATTCTCCTATGTCGGTATCCCAATTTTTCCCATATCTCCAGCTGCGAGGTATGACTTGCATGGAGGGATCCAGCTGTCCAGGCTCCAACAGCCTTGAGCTCCTGCCAGGCGGACAGAAAATGGAATGGTCCATGATTGATGAAGTGGTTTAATGATGGTAATGATGGTAATGATGGTAATGATGGCAATGATGGTTTAATGGTTTAATGATCTACAATCTATAAACAAACTTTTTAACCATGATAATGATGATGGTTTATCATGGGTCTATAAACAAGATGCAGCCCAGGAACCCGAATCCTCAATGCTCCCACGTATGTTCATGGGACAGATGTCGAAACACAGAGATGCAGTCACATAAAACACTTTTGCAAAACAAGCTATTTCAAAAGTCTTGTACATTCTTCCCCTGTTACCGTACCAGTGTAGACTGTGGAGTGTGGCATGGAGTGGAGTGCAGAGTGTGGAGTGTGAAGACAGTGGAGTGTTCAGAGGGGAATGTAGTGTGTAGGGTGTGAAGTGGGGATTGTGGAGTGTGAGGTGTCCAGCGTAAAGTGTGAAGTGTGGAGTGTAAAGTGTAGAGTCTAGTGTGGAGTGTGGGGTGTAAAATTGTGGAGTGTAGTGTAAAGTGTGGAGCTTAAAGTCTAAAGTGTGGAGTGTCAAGTGTCAAGTGTAAAGCGCGAAGTGTAAAGGGCAGAGTGTAGAGTGTGGAGTGTGGAATGTAAAATGTAAAGTAAACTCTCACGATGTCCCACGCCTGCCACGCAATTTGCACGTTGTCACCACTTGACGCAGCCCTGACAATGTGATTCGCACAAAAGACGCAACACCACGCGTCTAAAGTGCTGCGCTTGCCACGCAAAATGACAATGGAGGTCTCCAAAGTGTTGTGCCTGCCTCAAAAAAATCAACTTATCTTCTGAAAACCTTGCAAAAGTATTGCGCATGTCACACAAAACGACTCTCGACACTATATGAGACACGTGAGAATGTCACGAAGCGCCACCCCTGCCACGCAAAACGACACTTTTATATACCTCGTTTGAAACGTTTCAAAACGAGAGGTTTTGCATCGAGATAAGACATGTTGGAAGCCCAAAGCGCTTATTTCGTATGAAACCTCCTAAAATTTTCACACTTGATAGCTCCAAAATCGACGTTTTCCTACGAGTTTTCTTAATGAACCCTCGAAATTGGCTACCTCAAAATCGATGTTTCGTGCGAGGCTTTTCTCAATTTTCATCACACGTCACAAAATGCCATGCCTGCCATGCAATGCACGTTGTCACCACTTGACGCAGCCCTGACAATGCGATTCGCAAAAAAAACGCTGCACCACCCGTCAAAAGTACTGTGCCTGCCACGCAAAATGAAGATTGACACGTCCAAAGTGCTGGGCCTGCCGCGAAACATGAAAGTCATCTTCTGAAATCGACGCAAAAAAGTATTGCGCCTATCACACGGAAAGATTTTTGACACGTTATGAAACATGTTGCGATGTCACAAAGTGCCACGTCTGCCACACGAAAACGAGGTTGCGCAACGTTTGAACCTCCAAAAGCGACCGCTTTTGCAGCACTCCCCCATAGGCACGGCCATAGCGACCTCACGCAAACGGTTGTGAACGGTTGTGAACGGTTGCGAAGGGTTGCGAATGGCGGCGCGACGTCTAGTGAACACACCCTCAACCCCCAAATCCCCAGAGTGAAACGTGAACCCTTGCTACGCATTCGGGAAAACTATTTAACCGTATTTAACTTAACCATTTTTATGATGATGTTTTAATGGTTTGACGGGATGATAACGACATTATAATGGGATTATCTAATGGATCTTTGGAAAAAGGATAGTTAAATGGGATTATACTAGATCATCTCTTAGTGGGAAAATATATGGGATTGTAATGGGATATTCATTCATAGGATAACATTTTGGATAATCATTTTGTAAAAAAACAAAGGTGGGAAAAAAGGGATACTCATCAAACCAAGTGGGTGATTGTCCATTTGCCCAGCTTTGCAACCCAACAGCGAAAGGTTCCAGCAAGGCCCCGGGTTTTTTCGGGGCGTGCATTTTCATGTCACCAGTCCCCGGCCCCAGAGATTGAAACCCAACAGATTCGCTGTTGGGAGTATGGCTTCAACATGTGAGCGGTTGGAGTGGTTGACTGGAAATCTGCAGAAACGCAGTACAGAAACAACCAAGAAGAACCATGTCTGCCTTATGTTTTCTGGGCTAAGAACGCAATCAACCCAGTACCAATGGCTGCCTTTATGAATTGATTTGCTTTCATGTTCATGAATGCAGATCATGCGTGTCTGTCGAAACTCCCCGGAAGATATAAATATCTTTTGCGTTTTTTTTTGGAATACATGTTTAAGAAGCTAGGTTAGGCCCATGTTCTGCGCGTGTATTCAGTTGCTTGTCCGACTCTTGTGGGCTTGCAGTCTCCCCCCAACTCTAACTCAGCCCACTGGAACGCGGAGGCTACTTCTCTACAGCAGAGGAACCAGGCGAGGTCTTCCAGTGTTTCGGGAATTCCAAACGATGCCCGGGAGGTTTACCCGGAACTTGTGCCTTTCAGCGAGACCCGACGAGTGTGACCTGTTCCAAGTGCATTGATGGCACACATGCAGAGGCCGGGCCATGCTGTTCATTTTGCAAAGTGTTGTGATTTTCCGCGCAGCTCCCCCATAGAATTTGGTCAATCTTTTTTCATCGTTAGCATCTATTTCGGAGCCCCCAAGTTTGTGCAGATGGTCATCGGATTTGATATCACCAGCTGAGGCAAATGGCACCTGTGTATCTTGTAGTGGCCGCCATGTGGCCATTTTCCTTACGGTGACTTCAATGGCAATGCTGTCTTTGTTGGGGCTGTACCTGATCTTGCTCAAGGCCAGGGTTGGTCTCGAAGGCCCACAAGGAAGGAGCTTTTGTCCCAGGTCGAGATGGCATGCTGAAAATCATGTTTTTTTTTTAGTTTATGGCTTTCAGTGAATCAAAGTATATATATTGGAATGTAGATATCGAACAAGCAAGTGGCGGGTTTGGCCGCAATGAAGATCGATTTGACCCATACTCAGAACAGTCTCCACCAGATTCTTCATTACTTCCCCGAGTTTCCCACCTTTCCAGATGAAGTTGCGCCATCCCACTTCGTTGCTCATCGTGTCAATTTCGCTGTCGCAAATGATCTTCATCGCACAGAAGTTGACAGTGCTCTTCCGGCGCCTTAGAGTCCACGTCATGGGGAATTTGGCTATTTAGAACGTTTAGAACAGAGCAAATTCGTCATGTTCCCAATTTTTGCATGGCATGGCCGGCATGGCCGGCATGGCCGGCATGGGTCTAGTAGGGGGTATCCCATGGTATCCCCCATTTTGAGAAAAGCTATGACTTCAGCCGCCTTTGGCAAAGTAGTGAGCACTTTTTTGCAGCGTCGATATGAGTGGAAGGGATGGCGAGGGTAGTGACCTCCCTCGGGATTTGATGATGGGTGCATTTTCTAATCTGTGTAACAAGTTCTTTTTGGTACTGCCCCATGCAAGAGGTGGACAAGAATCCACTGGCTATTCCATGGAGTTTCACGTGATTCCTGCAGTTGCCCGCTGCAAAATGTCGTAGCGAGGTTCAAGATTGAATGGGAAGAGCCGTTCTTGAACGTCTTGCGGGTCTTGGAATTATTGGCCTTCGATCTGAAGATTATTTCCATTGATTGCATCTCTCCCTTGAATTCCACCATCGAGTTTTCTGCCCGTCTATGTGCAGCAAGAAGAAACACTCTTTTCTGCTGTGTTTTTCAGATGGACATGGGTCAATATCCATTGGATCATTTGAACGGGGGGATGAACATCCCATTGGACCAGCTGTTTTGGTGTTAAAGGATTGAGGTTTTGACCCACCATGCTGAAAAATGGTTTCATTTTTTCTAGCCGATTCTAGCCTGCGTGCTTCTGTGAAGGCTCGTGGTTTCATTTGGGTCTATCCAAAATCGGGGTATACCCCAAGGCTGCAATATTGATGGAGAAAACATGATACCCCCTGTCAGAATCCGATTTTAAGGCAACCCCATTTCGATCTTGTGAAGTGTTCAGATTTTGCTCAGGAGTGATGGTGGTACCAATGTTCTGCATCGTGGTTTTTCTGGTGCACATCTTGCATGCATGTTTACACCGCACGCACTTCTTCAGCAAGATCCAACTTGCTCAGCTTACGAGCACAGTGGCTGGGAAGGAACAGCTTGATTCATAGACGCAGTGAATAAACAGCTCTCGTCATGTGCGCCTTTTTGAACGTATAAAGACAAATTTATTGATGCTATTTTCATAGATATTTCAAGACTTTTGGTGCCGTTTATTTTCATTTGACGGCCATGTTTGACTTTGCAAGACATCTCGACTCTGCCTTTTACCGCTGCAGTGTCGCTTTTCAGTTTGACGTTTCCACTGCCGAAGTTTGGAGCATCCCAGAATTGATATTGGTGCCCACGCATGGATCTATAGCTATCCCCAGAAAGGTAGAAACAGAAGCCGCAATGAACATGGCAGGGAACTCACCAATTTCTGATAGAACTTGCACCAACTCGACCAGGTGCGCAAAACTGTTACTGTTTCTCCCCTGTAGTTTGCCCTTGCACACGTATTGGCGGCTATTGGGTACACGTTTGCATATCCCAGTTCGTCGCGTCGTTTGAGGTTGGTACGGTCTTCTCCATTTGCTTCATCCCAGTCTTCTCTTCGCTGCTGGCTCCGTTCCAGTGCCAGGAACATCCAAACAGAAAGTTCACCCTGCAGGACGGGCCCATTGGAGGAGTAGAGAAACATCTCGAGGAGTGAATTAAGAGGACATGTGTCAACTGCATTTTGAGTCAATACAGCTGACTGGTGGAGTTGTTAGGCTCAAGCCATGTGAATACCAAAGCAGACTTTGGCAGAGCCATGGAGAGGGCAAGGGCACCTGATTGGCAATGTCCGAATCCAGGTTGCGTGAATCACTCCCGCATGGTCTTTGGCTCCAAGATGGCGTGCCCTCAGTGCGGTATGCCAAAACCAGAGGATAGTCCTGGAGTGAAGCTTCAAGAACAGCTGTTCCAACCAGTCAGCCAAGTGAGCCAAGCCAGGCAAGTGAACCAGGAAGCTGCTTACGCAGGTCTTTATGGTGCCAAGGGTGATAGTGCCTATGGTGTCGGGCCGCCTGAGGGCGATTGGCAATGCCCCAATAGCGGCTGTGTGAACAGCAGAAATATGGTCTTTGGAAGCAAAACCAGTTGCCCCAGGTGTGGTACTCCCAGACCAACGCTGGGGCTTGTGAAGACTGCAGGCAGGCCACAGGTGCCACAAGTGGCCCAAGTCGCACAAGTGGCCCAGAGCCCGGCCATACAGTATCTTCCTTTGCCCGTGACCATGGCGCCGCAGTTTGGACTCGAGTCATTGAAGTCCTTCAACATGGCCGCTGCGGCCGGTATGATGGCAAACGTGAACGGCCGACCTGGAGATTGGCAGTGTCCCAACCGCGAGTGTGTGAACCACAAACGCATGGTCTTCGCAAAGAATGACACCTGTCCACAATGTGGCTCAGCCAAGCCAGGCAGAGGTGGAGCGAATCCACAGGACTGGCAGTGCCCCAATACCGAGTGTCAGAACCACAGAAACTTTGTCTTTGCCAAACATGAGATGTGCCCCCGTTGTGGGCAAAGCAAAGATGCCAGCGTTCGATCGCGGTCCCGTAGCCCCAAGGTGATGGGACGACCGCTGGTGCACTGAGCTGAGTGATTACCAGTGTAGGTCTGTACAAAGGTGGCGTGTAGCAACTGTAGTAAAGTAGTCTAGTGAGTCTAGTCTAGTGGATTTTGCTGAGAAAGTATGAGAGGCACAAACACAGCAAGCGCCAGTGCGCTTGCCTTGACATCCTTGACTGTCTCGAATTGTGAAGCTGTCCACTGGTGAAGCATTCCAAGATATTCCAAGGTAGATTCGGATGACTTTTTTCTTACAGCCGTTTGCAGCCATATGATTTTTGCAGGACTATCACGGTGTTTTCTGCAATTTCACTGAGGACAGGGCCGGCAAAATGTCAGAATTGTCCGAAAGGGAGGAACATTGGGAGAGCTTCAGAGGTTTCTTTACGAATGGCAGCTGATGTCAGATTTCAGATGCTGCGGCATGTTTCACTCTCTAGCTTTCCTAGGTGAGTTCTTGTTTTTTACAGGAGTCGCTGGTTGAAGCGTTGTGTCGTGTATGATGATGTCTTGGAATCTACACCCGCTTTTTCTGAGAGAAGGAGATCTCCTTGCTTGCGCGTCTCAGTCTTTGCAGGAGCACTTGCAGATGTGCATCATTGGTGCAGTCGCCTGTTTGTTGCCCATCGGATTTTTGGCCCTGTGCACCTGGGTCGTTCTGGTGGAGGCAGACTGCAGCAGCCAACTCCCCCAAGCTATGGCTGGTATTGGGCTGTTGGAGCAAGCTGGATCCTATCTCTCTCAGAAGCTGGACGATGAAAGAGATTACCATCCAAGATCCAAAATTAACATAGAGGATTTTACCATCATCAACAAATCACTCAGTCTAGAGGCTAATCTTCCCCCTAGTTGGGAGGGTCGGACCTGTTAGCGCAGGTGCCACGGAGGCAGAGTCGCTCAGACCTCAGTTTCTTGCGCGCTTGGTCTTTCCTCTTCATCCGCTTCCGGCCTGGAACACAGGCGGGTTTGTCAATGGGCTTTGCCGCATCCGTAATTCCAATTTGGCCAACCACCCACTGGATATGTTTTGGGTCTCTCACGTTTTTGCAAAGCCATGGCTTATTGGAGCTCCCTGGCCCTATTGCCGCAGGTCTTTTCGGTGCTCTTCTTGGTACGAAATGCATTGGTTGTCCTTTGTCAACTTCTTTCGAATGAGTCTGCGAAAGTGGTCCTTTTGAATCTCATGCTATATATCAGTCTGAGTCTCGGCCCCATCTCGTTGCAGAGTGAGGTTTTTCCGTGTTTGGACAAAGCTAAATAGCATCAATGTGTTGTCATTGTGCACAGTTACAACTTGACTCGATCTTGGAACACAGATAGTTGTTGGGCTTGTGGGACTACATAGTTACTTTCACATCATGAAAGTCATTGGAGCCAGTCACAGTTTTTGAACCAGCCAGCACATTTCTGTTGTGTTTTTGCGTTTGCGTGCCAGAAGAAATGAAATTCATTGTTGTCAATCATTGTCAGAAGAACACACAGTCAGAGCTGCCTTGAATATATAGATTATTATAAATTGATTTTAACATGATTTTTTGGGAGAAACGCCGCCTTTAACAGTTAGTCCCCTTCCCCCCATAGCACATAGCACCGTGCCGTGGTGGAATTTTTCCTGGATCTAGTCATGAATTGGAGCCCTAGTTTGCGCAGGGATGAGCTCAGGATTCTTACGGCTTACAAAAAACCTTGGCGCTTCATGGTTTGCAACTGGTTGGATATTTTGCTACTTACTGGACTGATGGCGATTGTAGATATGGGAGCTGTCACCATGCGTGACAGACCCCAGACGGCAATGATCATTTGTGCCCTGGCAGGACAAAGTCAAACTGTAAATTCTGAAACCTCAAGATACTGTCAATTTGAGATATTGTACCAACTGCAGACTATGTGTGCACTAGGACTGCAGACTGCAGTCTCAGCATTTCACATGACGAATCCTGCTCCTCTTGGCACTGCAGGCATTTGTTTCTTGAGCTGCATGATGGCTGCGATCCTAGCTGCAGTTGTCTTTGGAGCTTGGAAATATGCAAGGCAAAAGTACCGCAAGCGCTTCAACTTTTTCATAACGCACCAGAAGTCTGCGGCAGGTTGCTTTGCGCGGCTGCTAAAGATGGAACTGGTGGCAGCTGGAAAGACAGTTTTCATCGATTCAGATGACCTGGTTGACGTGAGCTGTTTGTGCCGCTATGTGAGCCAAGATACGTTGCTCAGTTAAAAACTTTCATTTTTTGTGGGTCTTCACGTCTTCGACTATACCTGAGAATCCCCTATCCGGAGAGGAAAGTAGTCTTCCGGGCCCCATTTAGCGGTCTATGTTGGTTGGATGGCACATGTTTTGAATTTCCGAGCATCACAACTGTTTTAAACATTTTTAAACCATCAAATTGTGTTTAGTGAGGGTCTTAACATTCAGATATTAGCAGTTGGAGGCAGAAGCTGTTGATTTTGGCCACGCCGGAGATCGTGAAACGCCGCTTCTGTCTGGCAGAATCTCGGTTTCTTTAGGGAGGACAGGCATTGGGTGTGAAGATGGACCCCAGAATATTGAATTGAAGGGGGAAGATGATGATTAGCAAATGGATTTATCGTTTCAGGTAATTGTTCAGACAAGCCCATGGCCCAATACCATCATGTCAAAATTGCTTGACAGTTTCCAAAGAGACACTGGTGCACGCACATCTTTGTGCAAACTAGTGACGCTCTGTCCCCAGAAATATATGGTAGGCTATCATTTCGTGGAGGACAGCAATTTTTTAAGAGCCGAACCTACTTTTGAGCAGTTTCAAAAAAACACTTGGTCGACAGGGAACATGGCCATACTGTCTTATACTAATACTACCCAATATACAGAATATACTGGATCACAAGAATGAGTGAACTGAGAAATCTCCATTAACCAACCCTTATCCAACCTTTAACCAAGTATTGACCAACCCTTTACCAACCCTTATCCAAAGAGGGATTTTCCAGTGTAGGACTCAGCTCAGCTCAGGAAATGGCTACCGCCCAGCTCTGCGAGGTTCCTTCCATTGTGCTCACTTGGCCAAAGTTCCAAGTCCCAGACGACTCTGGGTGTCACAAAGGGAGAACTGTGGTTGTGGTTGTGATGGGTGTTGTGGGTGTTGTGGGTGTTGTGGGTGTTGCGGGTGTTACGGGTGTTACGGGTGTTGTGGGTGTTTGGGTGTTGTGGGTGTTGCGGGTGTTGTGGGTGTTGCGGGTGTTACGGGTGTTGTGGGTGTTACGGGTGTTGTGGGTGTTGTCGGTGTTGCGGGTGTTGTGGGTGTTGTGGGTGTTGCGGGTGTTGCGGGTGTTGTGGGTGTTGTCGGTGTTGTGGGTGTGCTGGGAGTGTTGTGGGTGCTGCTGGTGTTGCGGGTGCTGCGGGTGTTGTGGTTGCTATGGATGTTGTGGTTGTGATGGGTGTTAAGTTTTTTTTGGGTACTGTGGGTGTTGAGGGTGTTGTGGGTGTTGTGGGTGTTGCCAAGTCAACGAGTCAAAATGTACAGCCCGATCCATACCCTGAACCCACCGGCCGATCCATACCCCCGATCCATACCCCCGATCCATACCCCCGATCGATACCCCGGATCCATACGCCCGATCCATACCCCCGATCCATACCAAAACGCAGGTGATCCAGACCGATTCATACTTCTGGATCACCGCGGGCCGATCCATACCCAAATTTTGACGCAACCCCTTGTGGGTGTTGTGGTTTTTGTGGGTGTTGCGGGTGTTGTGGGTGTTGTGCTTGTGATGGGTTTGTGGGTGTTGTTGTTGTTGTTGTTGTTGTTGTTGTTGTTGTTGTTGTTGTTGTTGTGGGTGTTGTCGGTGTTGCGGGTGTTGCGGGTGTTGCGGGTGTTGTGGGGGTTGTGGGGGTTGGTGTTGGTGTTGGTGTTGGTGTTGTTGTTGATGTTGTTGTTGTTGTTGTTGTTGTGGGTGTTGCTGGTGTTGCGGGTGTTGTGGGTGTTGGGTGTTGCGGGTGTTGTGGGTGTTGTGGGTGTTGGTGTTCTTGTTCTTATTCTTCTTGTTATAGTTGTTTTGGTTTTTTGCTGTTATTGCTGTTGTTGTTTTGTTTTTGTTATTGTTTTTGTTCTTTTTTGTTGTTGTTGCGTCACAATTGTCACAGTTGTCACTTTATATATTTGGTTGTTGCGCATGTGGATATATTGGCTGACTATAGCTCTAAAAATTCCCAGTGTTTTGCTTGAAGGAAACTAAGCAGTCAATGTTGCCTGGCTTATATGTTCCAGGTTCCGGGTTTCCCCCTCCCTCCACCATGGTCATGGTACTCCTCTCCCCCTGTGGTATGCGAGGTGTGACAGTATCTTGGTTCTCCCTTTCCCTCTCTGGTGTGGGTGTGGGGAGGAGGTTGAGTATGCTGTATAAATACAAGAAAATCAAACATGGATGAGCAATAATATATAATGACCTAGTGCCAAATGAGTAGTAGCTGGGTGGCTTATACATATACAGTATATATATAATATTCATAGATATAGATAGATAGACTATAGGTAGTTTGTATGTCTTATACATATATATATATGAAATATACAGGTTATTTGTATCTATACTCTGTATATATATATATATATGCATGTATATATATATAGATACACACGACTGTCGTACTACACATGAAAAAGTATCACATATGTATATATATATCTATATCTGTATCTGTATCTGTATCTGTATCTATATCTATATCTATCTATCTATCTATCTATCTACTGTATCTGTATATATATATATACATATACACGCACTATATATATATACATATATATAGGTATATTTGTAGCATTTTGTAGCTTGGGGTCGTTGCTATGTATTTTTAGGTAGTGCCATATAAGTACGATGGATTAGGTAGTGTATGTGGTTGCCTCCTCTCCCCTGTGGTGGGGGGTGGGGGTTCTGGTGGTTTTCGATGCTGCACATGAGTGTATATATATACACATATTAAAAAATAGAACATACGTCTTATATAGATACGCTATAGGTACTATATAGGTTCTATGTATGGATATAATACTGGCAATGCATCAATCATAGGCAACGGATGAATATTGTATAGATACACTATGGCTTGTATATAGGTATACCAGGTAGAAAAGGAGCATGTAGATACTATATGTTACTATACGGACAGCACATAGGTCGTATGTAGGTAGCATATGGCTCTCAAATGCCGCAGATAGGCTGCAAGTCGAAGGTTGTGGTTCTGAAATGCTCCAAATAGCATGCAAATGGGACTCTGTGTCTCAAATGCTGTAAATAGCATGCAAATGGTAGATTTTTGGTGGAAGGGGGGGGGTACCAGGGGTATCATACCATTGGGGGGGGCCACCGAACCGGGAACCAGGAACATAATATAGCGATTTTGTAAATTGAATGGTTACTGAACATGACCAGCTTGGTTGTTTCATCGGCACTCAGCCGTGGGGCCCGATCTTTGCCTCCTGCAGTTGCCTATCTCATCACCAGCTTGTTTTTTCCATTCCATCGGTTTCCTTCTCAGGAGAACTTCATCAAGAACTTGTCTCAAGAAGTGGAGATTTTGAATGAACTCGCAAAGTTCGGCATCTTTCGGGCAGATATCGAGGGCACTTTGTGGTGGCTACAGATTCTAGAGTCTATCAAGATTCCAACAGAGCTTACAAGGGTCGCTCGTCATTTCTGGAAGTTGAGCAAGGTTTGATTCTGGACATCGGGTTGTCCAAAAAAGGGCGATATTGCTAAATAATGCGAAAGTCCAGCGCTACGTTATTTTTTCCCCATCCAAATCTACATTAGTTGAACCTGGGGCTGAATCCCATCAATTTACACACATCCAGAGATCGACTTCCATGGCGGTCCTGACTGTCCGAGGAGGAGCTCGGACGTATCGTCGGGAAGCTCACAAACACGGTCCCCAAAATCAGCGGATTTGCAAGTGGGGAGCAACTTGGCACCGTTTTGTTATGTGTTTGTTGAAAGAGTTTTTTCACGTCTTTGTCCAAAGATGCATGGAGTCACCAACTATTTATGGCAATTTATGGGAATATCACACGATATAATTGATAAAATGGATATAAAATGGATATAAAATGGTCAATATCACTAAATGGGTTTGTTTGAAGATGAGGTATATCCCAACTGATCATTTCTTGGGGACCTTTGAACCACTGGATTTGGGGGCTACCCAGTCTCAAAAACACGCAAATATTTGTGGATTACTTTGAAAAATTGATTGATTTCATACTAGAGGTGACCAGCCAAGCAGTGGCCTTCAGGCCGTAATTTTTGATCCATAGCTCTTTTGATGTGTGCAATTCTCGAGTTTCAATTGGGTTTTCCT